TGCAGGTGGCCTCTTGCAGTCAGGGCGCACAGCCTGGGACAGTGAAAGGGATGGGGTCAAGGGTCAGCCCAGCAGCGTATGCTCTTACGAAAAACTACCCCACTAGTCTGGTGCCTCCACCTCTGGGGTGTTTTCTCTGAGGTCTTGGGCAGCCCATTCTCTTCACATGTCCCTCCCTACTGAGACCTTCTTATGGGAGGAAGGAGGAGGGGTGTTTCTAGACCTTTCTCCTGGCTGGGACTCTGCACTTGGTGCTTGTCTGCGCCTAGGACCCTCCCCATATAACTGCTGAGAGCCCTCAACCTCCGGATGACTGGGCACCTAGGAGTGTCCCACGGGAACCCCAGCCGGCTCTGGGTGCCCTCCCCCAGCCTGGCTGAGGTCCTGGTGGCAGCAGGACCAGGAACTTGGCCTCTGATTGGGAAATTGTTTCAGCTGGCAATGAGTAAGGGTTCATTATCATGTTTGTGGGTGTCAGACTGTCATTAAGGGTCATTCCAACACCCCCACATCAGCAGTGAAGACAGTGTGAACAGGCTGCACTCTGCTGCTGTTTAGTGAGTGTCTCCTTCCCTAGTAGAGAAAAATACTGCAATGCTCAGAGTGAAGTTATTGATCCAGGTTCCAAGCGAGCCCTTCCTGAGATTGTGGACTATCATGTCAACCCTTAGACTCTGCACCTTTTTATCCTTGCATGGTGTTTCACTTCACGGACATACTCCAGCTGGTTCATCCGGTTACCTTTGGAGGGGTGTGTGTTTGTTTGCGCCGTTTCCAATTCCACGCAAAAGAAGCAGCTGTGAACATTGATGTAGAGTGAACCTGTGCATCCCCCATGTATTTATTGGGTGTGTGAACACGTAGGCACACGTGCACCACAGTGTACTTGTAGAGGTCAGAGCACATCTTTCAAGAGTCACTCCTCTCCCTCCACCGTGGGTCCTGGGGATTAACTCATTGCCAGGCTTGGCGGCTGGCGCCTTTACCAGCTGAGCCTTCTGACTGACCCCCTGAGTGCTTCTCTTTTTGTGGGGAAATACTTGGGAGTGACCGGGCTGGGGCCCAAGGTAGATGTATGCTTGTGGAGAAACACACAGCCGCTAGCTTTGATCTGTATCGCTTTTGTGCCCCAGCGTGAGCAACTTCAGTCACACAAATCTCGGCAGTCTGCACCATCACACCATCTGTCTCCCGAGTCTGCCCTGCTGAGTTCATCACGTGACAGCTCTTGTGCATCTCTCTCTGCTCTGGCCTTCACTCTCCACCTAAACACAGGCGGAAACACTTTGTGAACGGTTTCCAGTCCTTTGATTTTCACCAGTGAGTTAATGAGTCCAGAGAGATGAAGAAACTGATTTTCAAAGGTCACACAGCTCATTGAACAATTCAACAGAAACGAGTCTCTTCCCCTTCCTCATCCCGGTCTTCTCAACTCACTGTTGATGAACAGGGGACAGACTCCCCCTGGCCCCTTTCATTGCAAAGGTAACAGATGTGGCAACATTTCCACCGACAGCCCCATCAGGCTCCAGCAGCTTGAGGGCCCCCTACTGGTGAGTTTTTCTCTCCCATGGGGCATCCATGTCTGTCTCTGCAAAGGAATGCTAGGGATGCATGTAGTTCAGTGGGTAGAGCGCTTGCCTAGCAAGAGGGGAGCCCTGAGTTCAATTCCCAGCTCCGTAAAGCAGTACATTGTGATACACAACTATAATCCTAGCACTTGGGAGCTGGAGGGCAGGAGGATCAGACCTTCTGGGTTAGCCTAGGCTACATAAGACCATGTCTTAATAAACACATACACACAACAACCCATCTCTTCTTTTGCTTGATTTTGCTTTTCTGAGACACAGTATCACCCAGGCAGGCACTGAACTTTTGATCCTCCTGCCTCAGCCTCTTGAGTTGCTGAGACAATAGGCCTGCACCATCACGCCCAGTTCAGAAGCAGCCTCCTTGTAAGTCACATGTTTTGGTGGAAGGTGCGCTGCGTGTTCATGGCTCTTAGCACCTGGGGCTCTGTGGTGTGGACTGTAGAGTGTGGAGATGCTAGAGACCTGAGGCAGGGTGGGTGAGAAACCCTGGTTTTTCGTGAACCTAAAATTGTGATAATATTGTCTTGGAAAAAATGAAAAGCAAACAACAAACCTGGGGTCTGGAGAGATGGTTCAGCAGTCTAGGGCAGTCTCACGGAGAGCCAGAGTGCTCGCCGCTCTCACGGAGAGCCAACTTTGGGTGGCTCACAACTGCCCATAGCTGTAGCTCTGGGGGATTTGGCACTCAATTCTGTGCTCTGTGGGTACCCACACATGGGCTGCACATACGGATACTCAGGAACACACACATACCCATAAAATAATAAACGCTCTTTAAAAAGAAACACAAAAGTTAAAAACAAGCCAAATAGTGTCAGCCTGGGGCTGCAGATGTGCAGGGGCACTTGCCTCACGTGGCCAAGGCCCTGGATTCTGTCCCCAGAACCAAGAAACTAAATCTCAGAAAGATGAGGGCTCCCGACCTCCAACAGTCCTGGCCCGTGTACAGGAGGCCTGTCAACCTCTGGTCATGTGCAGCAAGTGGAGGCAACATCACATTATCTCTAGTGTAGAGGAGGGAACATGGGGAGGCACTTGTCAGGGAGACCCGTGTGAATGCTGTCCCACACCCTGAGCCCCATGGGGTTTGGCCTGCAATCCTATAGACATGAAGAGGTGAGGCCGGGGGTGTAGAGCCCTGCCTGGCAGACCACAGTGGCCTGGGGTGACAGCAGACCCAGTGAGGCACCAGATGGCTGGGAGGAGGGAGGCAGGGCCACCGGGTGGTTCTGTGTCTGGTGTGGGGCCTGGGCATCAGTTGTTGGCTGCCCATTCTGTCAGCATTTCCGTGTGGCCTGGAGACCACACAACAGAGATGGCGAAGATTGGCTCAGTCTCCTGACCGAATGGGGGATCCAGGCCCCAGGCTGAGAAGCAGAATCCCAGGGAAGAAGGCAGGAAAGGGCTCAGAAATGCCACAGAGTTAAAAGAGCCAGACCACTGTAGCCAGAGTGGGTCAAAACCTCAGAGGCTGTGGGACGTTGGGGGAGTGACTTACCCTCTCTGAGACTTGCTCCACCTCAGAGTGGGGGACTGCTGGGGAGCTGATGGCATTAATCCATGTGAGGGCTTCATTGATTCTAGACACAGCTTCCTGAAGGCAGTGCTATCATTTTTATTACTGTTGTGATCTGATCTTAGAGGTCACAAAAAACTCCTCATAAGTTGCCCCTAGAGAATTCATTGCCCAGCATTGCTTCAGTGTGTGAATGTCATCTGCAGCTGCATTCCATGCCCACATTGGGGCTGTCACCCCTCAGGCCAGCCTTCTGGGACTCAGCTTCCCACTCCTCCCTGAAGTCACCCTGGAAAGTACCATAGGTCCTCCAGAAGCTGTATCTTCAGCTCTGGACAGTAAGATGTTTGAGATGGGGACATCACCTGATTGAAAAAGAAGCCAAATGCCAAGACTATGTGCCAGGCTCTTCTGTGTGTGTGAACTCTCCGGGAGACACACCCACAAAAATAGAAAGTAGAGGTGAGGGCCAGAGACCAGCGGAGTGATGGATTAATGGCTGCAGGGTTTCCTTTCAAGGCAATGAGAATAGTTCACAATGTGATGGATGCACAGCTCTGTGAACACGCTAACGTGCAGCAGATTGTCCATTGAGTGTGCATATCCATGTATGCCTGCACACGTGTGAACATATGGAGTGGGGGGGCATCAGATAAGCCTTTAGTCGCCTATTTTCTTTTTAAGATTTTATTTGGCTCATGTGCCACATGTGTGTGGGTGACCACAGTGGCCAGAAGATCTCCTGACACTGCAGGAGTTACAGGCAGTTGTGAGCTGCTCAAGATGGGTACAGGGATCTGAACTCTTTCCAGGACCCCCCCACCCCTTGTTTTTGAGGCTGAGATTCTTATTAAATCTGGAACTCACTAATTTGGGCTAGAGCAGCTGGCCAGCCAGATCCAGGACCCTCCTGTCTGGACCTCCCCAGGGGTTGTAGGTGTGAGCCATGCATGAGCCTGGCTTTTACAGGGGGCTGGGGCTTGAATGAAGTTCCTCAAGCTTATGCAGCAAACACTTTCCCCTCCAGGGCCTGGCCAGCCTTGGCTGCCAACTTTGAGTGGTGGGGCTCAACTGTAGATGTCCTACCTCAGCCAAGCAGCTCATGAAGACTGTCCTTGCCACAGGCTTGCCCTGAAGGCTGGACTTTGACACCTGGAGCTCAGCAAAAAAGCTGCAGTGGAGGGAACTCCGGGGTGAGGGAAACTGAGGCCAGCTTGGGGAGCACAAGGTAGATGTGAGTGGGCCTGCCTCCGCCTGTTCTCTGGAACTGAGCACAAAGCTTCACAAACATTCTTCCCAGCACCAAGACAAGGCCCTGTAGATCTGCCTCACAGATCAGCAGAGGAGACAGCAGCCAAGCTAACCAGCTGATCACAAGCCTATCCAGTGGTGACGGTGGTTCAGTAGTTTATACTTATGTCCCCAAGCACTGAATTATATGCATTAAGAAAGTCAATTTTGTGTCTTATATATTAGATTACAACAAAACAAACAAACAAACAAACAAACAAGAGCCACACAGGGCCAGCGAGATGGCTCAGCAGGTAAAGGAGCTTGCCGCCAAGCTGGAGCTCAAACTCCGCATGGCAGAACTGACTCCTGCAAGTTGTCCTAGGACCTCCACATGCATGCTGTGACACACATGTATACAGACACAGGCATATATGCAAATAAGTGTTAAAAACAGCAGCAAAGCCACACAGCTACATGGTACCACCTGCCCCGAGACCTCAAGGCTCCTAGGGCTTCCTCCAAGGCAAACAGGGCTTTCCCCTTAGTGATCACAAGCTCCCTCCTCCCTCTTCCCCCAGGGAGCTAATAGTGTCCCCACAGGCTTCTGATTGGCCAGCCTGTGCCCCACCACCTCACTCCCTCTCCCCTGGTCTGAAGGGAGCTCAGCCGGCTCCTCCTCGAGGGATTGAGCTGAGGTTCTGGGCTCCCCTGTCCCTGTCCCTGTCCCTGGAGGATGCTGATGCTGGTGCCCATCGGGCTCCGAGCGCTGGTCCTGCTCTGGGCGCAGACAGGAGTGACCACAGGGAGTAAGTACACACGCAGCTTTCTGAGTCTGAGTGGCATGGAGAGGGCAGCCACCCTGATCTGCAGGAGTCAGGTTCGCCCCAAATGTCCTTTTGTGTGACCACCCCTCTTTGCTTTGCTGGGAGAGAGGAGCTAAACTTACAGGCAGATTCCTGTCTCTCCTCTGCCTTTCTTTCCTTCCTGGAGCAGGTAAGGTAGGGTTTACAGAAGCTGCTGGGGGCTGGACCTGAGCCCCGAGGGAGGGGCATGGAGGCTGGTGTGCAGGGGTGTATAGTCGCTCTCCCCTGCTGGGGTGAAGGTCTGGAGGAGGCTGAGACAGACTTGCTTGTGTTACTTGACTGCTGGGGCACACAGAATGGTAGGAGAGTAGGAGACGAGGGGACCAAATGGGAGGCAACTTTCCCAGTTTAACGTTTTAAAAATATGAACTTTAATAAGTTTTTTAAACTCAAGATGGGCAAAAATAAACATTGGAAAGCATCAAATGTCGGTATAGTTCCATCTTTTGAAATCTAATATACATTTTCTATTTGGTGCTTTTTCAACTTTTGGTTTTTGAGACAAGGTATCAGGTAGTCCAGGCTGACCTCAAACCCATCCCTCAAACCCATCCCGTAGTCAGGTTCTGTGGCCTTGAACTCTTTTTTATTGTTGTTGTGTTTGCTTGTTTTGTTTTTTGAAACAGGGTTTCTCTGTGTAGCCCTGGCTGTCCTGGAACTTACAGAGATCCACCTGCCTCTGTCTACCGAGTGCTGGGATTAAAGGTGTGTGCCACCATACCTGGATTTTCTTTCTTTTTTCTTTTTTTCCCTGAAGGTGTGTGTGTGTGTGTGTGTGTGTGTGTGTGTGTGTGTGTGT